TGGGAAGGACTGGGCGCAACAACAACTCTGACGACAGCGAGCATAATTGTCCAGCAATTATGAAGCCCGCACCCGACGCTGACAAGCAAACTGTGGCAATTAATGAGAAATCACCGCACCAATTAAGACCTCAAGTGGTAACTACTGGAACTGACAATTATAGTACGCGTGCGGGTATAAATACCGTGCAACTTGTGCATGTATCACCTTTGTCTGCGCATGTCTCCGAATTTCCTACAATTACCTATGATTAAGGATTCCCGAGGAAATCCGAAGCGTCAGGAAAATAAAACACTAGTTCCAGTGATCGCGTCTTCTTTTTCTGAACTGCTTCCTGGGACTCTTATATTCTCCTCTCTTGGCAAAGTCAGACATAATGTAGGGCGCAGGTGGGTGGCGTGGCCGGAGCCACCCACAAGCGTGCCGTCACTCGGCTCAGTTCCCTAAGGGAGGGAATCATAGCGACCAGATTATTGCCTAATTCTCAGTCCGCTACTTGACTGAACGCGCGGATTGAGTTATTCTGTGAGATGGAAGCCCTCAAAGTCACCGCTTTTAGCCCACCTTGGTAGTCTTAATCGCATCGGATTGTGTATAATAACAATATGTACTGAGCCGTGTACCTTACTGGTTATTCCAAAAACCGGAAGACAGCCACCGTTTGAGCTGGTTAGTGGAAGGGTGCGAGTAATTGGAGCAGTTGCTTCTCACCTCATCTACGCGTACTACACACACGACCTGCTCCCCATAACACAATTATCGGGATTGTACGCAAAAAGGCGTTGATTGATTCACATTTCACATGTGTGAGGGGGCCGAAGTTCCCGTGAAGAAGGTATCATCGCAGCCTGAAGACCACCCTTCGGCCATTAACGGCTTTGAAAACGTGTAAGGTAACAATTTGGCTCGATACTTCAAGGAGCTCAAACACCTCCGAAGCGTGAAAGTAAAACTGACATGTGGAAGGAGATGGCCGAAAATCAGAACTGTTTTATAAGCTTATTATCCGTTGTCATGCAGCCCTGCCCACGCTCACATTTTGCCACATCTGAGCCCCCAATCCGACTACTTAAGTTTTCGAGGGTTAATAAGCTCAACGTCCTATCAGTTGAAGCAGGGGCCCGTTG